CATGTGAATATGACTGAAAATTTTCATTTTTTCTGAAAAGGAGGTGTCTATTTACTTGTGACCATGCTGTGTACATAATTATTAACATTTAACACATGAAACAATTATGACCAGTTACAGTTAATTTTACAGACGAGTAATGTTAATAGAAGTCCCAAGTTTGGAAGAGAGAAAAAAAAATCCAAGTGCTTTCAAAAGTTCAGATCAAGACCTGAAGGAAGTGGAGAAGGTTTATGGTGGTATGTTATCCTCTTTATCTGGTTTACTGCTAACTCTATAGACACTTCATAATCTTAATCCCAGAAAGTCTCTTTACATTCACTACTATTAATTTTGTGTTTTCCAAGTTAAAAAATTATCTATTTTGTAGCCAATATTTTTCACAGTAGTATTTCTACAGTTGGTCACATTAAACAAGCTTTAGTTTTTCAATCTATTTTACAAAGATTTCTTTTAACTACATCTTAAAAAATGTCAATAAAACTTAGGTTCCTTGTTATGATATATAATGCCTTATGATGGTAAACCATGATCTATAGATCAGTAATTTGTCTAACATTACATCAAAATAAGTCTGTAGAAAATAATTTGCAAAACTAATCAGCCTTTTGTGAGGTAATGTTACACATACTACCAACCAACAGACCACATTTGCTATAATAATAGGTACCTGTTGTAATTGGCTAACATAATGTGTGTTTCACTGCTAGCCATCTTGATGAGCCCTAATTGGTAATGAGTGAAAGATCTCATCAGCAATGCCAAGAAGCATACAAGGTTGATGTATAGTCTAGATGCTCTTATGTTTATTTTTACTGGAAACCCACAGTACAGGGCAAGTAAAAATTATAATAATTCTCATTATGATGTAATTGGTTCCTTCTTTGATCATAATAAATTCTACAGTGCTCCATACATCATTTTATAAAATAGTTCATTATTAACATGAAGTTGCTTTTTTCTCATTTGAACAATGGTAGTATTCCAAAAAAATACTGTTGCGTCAGCGAGGTCACGTGACTAGTATCACGCCACCCGTTTTCTAGAAATATCCTGTTCCTTCAAGAATGCCATAGCATTTACTAGATATGTGTTAGTCTGGTATATATAAGATGGTCACAACGTGACGGGAAAACAGTGTAATGAGTAATTGAATGTATGCGGACAAAATATTGTTGGCCACGTGAGATATAGCATTTGTTATAGCGCGACTGTTGAAATTAAGTGTATCGTAAAGTTGTAATCGGAAAGAATAAACCAATTTTATTAAGAAAGGACTTGTGTCGTTAAAGTTTCGTAGGAACGAAGTTACGGAAAATCAACTAACGAACGGAGATGTAACAATACCTATATATACTGTTTCACATGGTGCTCAATATTTTATACTGTTGCATCTGTATACGTTGTTTTTTTCCTGGAATTCTTTCTGTATTAATATTTTAATACCCCTCTTTCACGGATTTGTAACACCTAACTCACTAGAAACTTTCATTATAATTCATCCCATTATTTATTTTCAAAAAATCAAGTGAAGGCCACCATTTTAGATTTTAATAGTATGAGGCAACTTATATTTGAAGTCCAGGGAAATTAGGTCTTGGATGGGTTTGTTTTTTGCTTTGTTCATTTAAGTTGATTTATTTTGGAAGCATTTGCTCTTTTACATATATACAGACATACACATACATATTATCCCCCCCCCCCCAAAAGTATTAAGCACACAGGCCACCCACTTCTAGTGATGTTAAGCCTTTTTTTGTTGTCTGGATCATGTTTCTAGCATCCCCTCTCTCTCTCTCTCTCTGTTCTTATATACATGTGGATCAATTGCAATCAATGTTTTTTACACACACTGAATCACACTTCATACAATGATATTCACAGACCAAACATGATGTCCGAATTTTTCAACCGTAACTATGGTCATCTTCAGGTATCCTTCTCACAATAAAGAATTTATAATAAGAATGATATTCTATAATGTTAAATCCATTACTCACTAGCCTGACTAAGCTAACCTTGTTTTGAATCTTTGTTCAATTTTTTTAATTGTGTACTTTGGCTTACTAAGTACAAAATTTTGGGAATGATTATTACTATCCATCTGTATGTATAACGTTGTAAGAAGTAGTGTTGATCAACGAGAAATGTGTAAGATACCTCATCTCATTAAAAGTGTGTTTCAAAACAAGTTTGAACAGTTTATTATTGTCACTCTGTAGTAATCTATGTACTTTCAAATCAAACACACATTAAAATTTGTGCTTAAGCAAGTTGAAAAAAAAAAAAGACATCTGAACATAGTCGTATATTTCCTGAGATTAAAGTACTTCTCAGTACACAGCAATTACAGAAAGAAATGTGTTGTTTGTGGCACTAAAATTTTGTGAAACACTTTAAATACATGTACACGTGAAAGGCACAACAAAATAATATTTCTTATCTATACTACATTATGGCATTTTATTCAAACGTAAAAGCAAATCGATTAACATATTTAAGTAACAGTTTTTAGTAACATGAATTTTAGGAGTATGGATCACACATGTCTCAGGCTTATGTGGACTAGTTTGTTAGGTTTTTTTTCTTCTAAATTTTTAGTAAAATATTTCATATTTATCTCATGACACTTAATAGTATTTACATTAATTTTTTGTTTGTTGTACTGTAAAAGATATGTAGCTAAGTTGTTTATTGTTCAACTTTCCCATTTTCCTAAGATATCGCTGTCACGAAACAAGTAATACTCCTAGGAAACAAAAAGAAAAAAAATGTGTTTAGTTCATAATTATGAATCAATCAAAAGAACTGCATGTGTTCATAAAATTTTTACAAGTAATTAATTTGAGTTTAAATGATACATATACAAACAAAAAAGAGGAAGTGTTAACTTTTGTTTACTTATTATTAATATTCTATTGATTATGAAAAAATGCTACACTTCAGATTTCATTTCACATTCATCTTAATTTGTTCTTTATTAATTTCAGGTTTGAGATATGTAAAAATACCTCTTCAGTCCTATCTAGTTACACCTTAGGTTTGATGTCCATAATGAAAAAATCCTGACAAACGGGTTGTGATCATGCATTCTAAGATGATTTTTTTTATAACAAATGTTAGGTCTACTGGTTTTTAATGCTTTGCCAGTGTCTGGCATTCAAACTCTATCTTTAAATATTCAGCTCTTCACTCGCTAGTAATGATTTTTTTTTTTAAAGAATATTCATTTAGCTAATGAATGTTTTAAATATTTTGATTAATCTACATTTTAAACGTTTTTTTTTATATAACTATAAAAATACCTTTCATTCTAGAACCAACTATATTTTTTGTTATGAAAGACATAACCATTACCTTTTCTTCAACTTCAACTTTTGTACCTCCCCAGTCAGGAAGCAAGACCTTGTCACCAACTTTAACACTCACAGGAATGGTTTCTCCTTTCTGTAAACAGATGTTAAATTAGTCATAACAAAAGCACATATTATAAGATTTACACAAACATTGAATTATCAATGCACATGTCTTACACAAATAGTGTATGTACTGTATACATAAAGATTCTTAGGTCAAAATCTTATGTTTATTGTGAACTTTAAATTTATGAATTAATTTAAGAACAGACAAACAAGTTGAATAATGGAATCTTATAACTGAAAAAGATGTATTTAAAAAAACATTCTATTAAGAAAATGTTCACAAATTTACCTACAATATATATTTAACAAACAAGATGTTACTGCTCTATGCAAGGTTTCGGTTTTTGTTTTTTCAATATACACATCAAGAATAATTTCAAAAACTAAAACTGTCTGTACACCCATTGGTCATCTGTTATCCAGACATTCACTTCATATCACTGGCTTTACGCTTGCTAGGTCCCCATCCAAATTCATGACAATCATTATGTTTGTTTTTGTGCGTGTTCAAGGGGAAATGAGATTTTGTAACATAAACTTCAACTAGTTTTTATACAGGATAATATATAAAACATAGTGTGTTGAATAAATTAAAAAGCAATAACTTTTAAATGATGTCAAAAAGAAATCAAACATTTTTTGATTGCTTTTCATATACAAAATTGCCTCATTTGCCTATGTACATAATACAAAATTTTAATACAATAACATTACATCAGTTCTTGTAAGTTTTAAAAAACTGAACTTGTTTACAAACAGCTAATATTTGCTGCTAATTATGCATCCTATACCCACAACTACATAGCTTTTAAACAGCTGACAACCAATGTTTCAGTATGTAGTGCCTATTACAGAAATAATAAGAAAATTATATATATGGAGGTGCCATAAGTCAATTTTTTTTTTATTTCTAGAAAGTTCCTATTATTCAGGCACATTTCTATAAACTTCCAGACGGATGGTCCTTTTTTGGTCAGGTTGCATGCTGTTGCCTGGAGCAAGTTTTGCCACTGGGCTTTGTGTTCATGGATTTTAACATGATTTTAGATGCCATACTTTGCTTACTATAGCTAAATTACAACTTACAGTAAAGCCAATGGGGTATGGGTTCATTAAGATAAGGTTTCCAGTGATACCTTCCATTCAACTGTCACATATTTCAAGTAGCTGAAGAGTGAAAAGGCTATTCATGCTTTTCCACAGCTAAAGTACAATTTGTTGAAGGTTTCTTCCTGGATGGTTGTGGTGCCCCAAAATGATCCTATTCTTTTTTTCAAACATAATTAAGTGCATGGGATATTCCCATTTTGAAAATTCTGAATACCCAATCTGAACACATCTTTATGATCTGAATTACATAGCTTTCTTAAAAGTAATCAATTTCTGGTGGCATCACACTATCTTCAAAGCAATATCAAAATGTAATTATGATACATTCTGTTCCACACAACCTTATATCAATTGTGGTTATCACATGACTTGCTGTTTGTTATTTATGTTCAAGCTGCAAGCACATGACAAGATCAATGGGTGTTTTTGAGTCTACTGAGAGAGAAGCAGATTTGAAAGTATCTCAAAGTGCAAAAAAAGAAAGCACTTCCATAACTTTTTATGGATTAAAAATTCACTTTAAAGCCTCTTGAGTAAATTTAGCATGACAATTTTATTTCATATGATTTTCTTCATTCTTTCCTTTAAAAGCACAAGTAAAAAAGAAATGGGGTTGTACAAAGCTCCACTTTATTATATATATGCTTCAAATGGTCATTCAGTAAATAAATTTTACATTCTACTACTCTGTTTTTAGGTTTTATCAATACATGCTGAACAACCAAGATATTGTACTATTTAAAGGCCCTTTGAAATAATGTTTGTTTCTGCATCTAATAATTTTTTGTAATAATCTGATCATACTTACTTCATTCCTGCCTCCAGGACCTACAGCTACTATAGTACCACTTTGAACCTTAGCTTGAGCTTTGTCAGGAATCATGATTCCACTTTTAGTTTGTGTCTCTGCAGCAAATCTTTCAACAAGAATTCTATCCATCAAAGGAATAAGACGTCTTCCAAGAGCTGCCTAAGATAAGACAAGAAAAATCAACCATACCCTACTTTCTTCTAAAAATTTAATCTAGAAATAAACTTTATAGAGGAAAATTAGCCTAAAGTTGAAAGAACAAAAAAACATTGCACTAAATTTATATTAGAAGTTTTATTTGCAGCTTAAGTCCAAAAGACTAATAAAAAAATGCAAATAATATTCTTCTCCATTTTGGATGAGTCATATTTTGACCAACCACTTACTAGGACTATTTACACACATTAGTAAAAAGCTCCATTTATTTGTATATGCTAAATAAACTGATCATGTGAAATGACAGGTAACTACGTGAGAAAGGTAACTCTTAAAGACAAAGAAGTATGATGATGAATGACTATCTGTTCAAGAAACAAGTCTGCTAGTAGGAAAAACTTGCTGTTAGTGGTCAGGGTTTAACCAATCACACCCTGTGAACGTCATCAAAATTTTCATATAGCAGTTGATAACCAGCTAAAAAAATGAACTACCTGTCTCGGATGAAAGCAGGAATATCTTCAAAGGTGCTTAGAGCATAAACTGAACAACAAATAACATGAAAAACTTACATTGTTCGAAAAGTTACATTTCAAGAATTCTTGTTCTAATAGTAAGTGAAAATGTGAAGAAAAGCACATCAGAGCTGACCTGCTTGTGAGGTTTGACAGCAAAAGTTGCTGGAGGTGGTATAGTAGTGTGGGGAATGTTACTCTGACAAGGGTTTAGGTTTTGATTTTTTAAAAGGGTGCATACCATTCAACAATTACCAAAACATTGTTGTTAACTACTGCATTTTCACCTGAGAAACAACGACTTTTAAGTTAATGCAACAACAAACCATGCTTGTCTTCCCATAACTTAGTTTGAAAAGCATAAGAGTGACTATATACATCTTGTACCAATCTTTGTAATAAATTTTAACATTGTGTTTACCAATGTCTGTGAACTAATTGTAGGCCTTACACGTCAACAAATGGGCTATAATCATATAAGACACCTTTTAGACATCTTGTACAATCCATACTATACTAAGTCTAAAATATTACTAAGGTGAAAGATGATCCAACTCATTATTAAGTCAGGTACATGAGCATCAACACATTTTAAGGTGTAGAAATGTAAAAGCAGGACTAAGAACTTCTTGGTCATGATAAATAGCCTTAGTTTAAACAAATGATACGTATGTTGTAACTCTGCTTTGACATGACTGAGGTTAGCAAATACGTACAGTGTTTGTGATGAAGCTCCTGAATGAAAAAAAAATTAAATGTTTGGAACTAAAATGCATTTCAAGCAGGTATTTGCCTCTGAAATACTGTAAGTCTTTTTTTCTTGAGTTTCATTTTTGTTCTGTCAACCACCATGTGACTTTTGGTTATAAATGTCCTTGATGCAAAGCATTACATACATCATCTTAATAATAATAATAAAAAAACTCCACTCTCTCACTCACTTACCATGTGACTTATTGCTGAAGTACCATGGAAACTAAAGAAGCTAAATTTTGTTGTTGTTTTTCTTCAGTCACAATACCATAAAGCATATGTCATGATTATGGCTGGGTGGATGGAGATATATTTCAAAAAAGTAAATACCTGCTTGAAATTCATTTAAATTTTAAAAGAAGAAAATCAAATTGGGTAGACTTACCCTTGATAACATCAATAACGTTAGAACACCAATATTACGATGGAGGAAGGAACCAAAGAGTATCATAATAAAAGAGAGTTTTATCACTGAATGATGAGCTTTCAAACAGGAAAGACAGCATACAAAGATCACAACAACACTATTTGATGAGATCAAACAGAGTTAAAGCAGAATCCAGAAACTAAGCAACAGATGTTGGTCTGAATTTGTCTGTACGAACTGAGTGGAGAGGACCAGCCTCTTAAAAAGACTGGACCAAAAATACAAACACCAAAGTGGAAAGTACTTTTCTCAACAGAGTACCTCTTCATCCTAGAAGTGCTGCGATTAAAATGTAAAGGGGATTTGGTGGTAAAGAGATATCTAAGTAGCCATGTACTATCCAAGATCAGAGTTTAAAGTGTTAGCCCATACCTACTAGTTAAATATTCTCTGTGGAGAAGATCTGAATTAAGTAGGGACTGGACATACGTTTGGGACTATGATCCTTATGATACAAAATTAAAAAGGCTGGTAAAGTCAGGAAGCACCAAGGAAGGATTGAAAATAACTGGATGCTCCTGAGAATGGTCTCAACAATGAGAACAGTACAATGGGAATACAAGCAAGTAAAAGAAGGTGAAAACAAAGATGTACAGTGTACCCCATCCTGGTTGGAGTTATAAATTATGTATATGGAGATGAGAAAAGGTACCAGATGAGGCATCATCCACAATCAGATGGCATTTTCTGTCCAATACCAGAGGGCATCACTCTCTCATTTAGTCCCAGTACAGAGGGGAGGGGAATAGTGTTTAACACAATCAAATAGGTAAAATGACACATAAAAGAATCCTGACTTGACAAAATTTCCTAAATAAGAAGTCTCATGTTACAAGAGAGATCATGTTTTTTTAGGAATGTAATTAAACTTATCTCTTAGGGATTCCACAGGCATTGTCAAATGTTGAATTTGGTTAGAAGAAACACAAAATTCACTCTTAGGTGATAGGGTACATCACAGTAAACAAGATATATCAGTTATAATAACCATTTTGTACATGTTGTCTGAGCAAGATCTGAAAAATATGTTTCATCATAAAGTATAAACAACCTCTTCCGCAAGACCTCTGAACAATTTGATGTACGTGTGATAACAACAAACAGCCCTGAAAAAACATAAAAAGCAATCCTCTGAAGAGAATTTGAGTCAATCAGGAAATCATGACAGGTAAAAAAAAAACAGGTGAGAAGCAGTGGTTATCCTTCTTCACACCTCAAGTCTTAGGTAGGAAGGTTCTATATGGATACAAGAACAGAACCTTCCAAGGAAATATGTAATGCATTGAAGGTATAGATATCTGGATGTCTCCAACCCTATGTATGTAAAAATAAAAAAATGTATCTTGTAGAAAAAGAGATAAAGCAAATAGGTTGTGAGGAGTTAAAAATAAGTTAAGAAATGTAATATTAAGACCAAGTCCCACTTTTGGGTATCTTTAGGATGTTATAGATCAGTGCTTTCCAAACTGTGTGCCACTGTACACAGTTGTGCCACAGAATTTTTGCAGCTAAATAATTTTTATTTAGTAATGTCAATTTATTATCAATTTAATAAGTTTTTTAAATTTCAAATTTGATTTATTTTCTCTTTGATGCAAGCACCACCTCCATAAGATATTCAGTGAAATTAACAGACAGAAATAAATGAACATCAGCAATAATGGAATAATATCCAAGTCACCCGAGAGGGGAATTTGGACACTCTAATAACAGACTGAACAACAGTCAAATATGAAGTAGCCCACTTTGACCAAATTCAAGGGGTTTCTCAGGCCTGTACAAGCCAGAGAATAGAAAGTCTAAGCCAAAGATAGGACTTGTTCATCAACATGAAAAAATGTACATGTTCTGCAAATTGAGCATTCACACAATCTGGAAACCTTAATGGAACACCAACAAATGATTCAGCATTAACAGTTCTACTATGCTGATCAATGAAAACTGATTACATAGCCATCGGATCCCTTGCATACTAAAAGATCATGTGAACAAGACCTTCAAAAAATTCAAGGAACACTAGAATTTCAAGTATAAACCAAAGTGCTAACATTAAGGTTATCACTGACTTCTGAATTCCATTAGAACCAAAACCCCATTCTTACATAAACAAATAAAAGAAGTTACATTAAAACAAGAAAATCACTGTGCTTACAAAAATTACAAGAATATGCCATTTTGGAGTGTAATAGTGGATGCATGGAAAATAAAAAGGATTTTAATTTGCTCAGAACAGAATATTTTTCTGCCCATGTTAACTGAAAAAAAAAGTCATGGATAATATTGGCCCTAGGAAATTACAAATAGAATATTATTATGAAAAAAAATTATAACAAATGAATTTCTTTAGAAATGGAAAGATACTTCTCTAAATTCTGTTTATGGAGAACCTGTTTCAGACAAGGTCAGCAAACTTCTCTAAATTGAGTTTCCCAACCGTGTTGTAATGTATCATATAATTAAAAGATACTTAAAGAAATATTAGAGGTTCTGTTATCTTTAGAGACTCTTAAAACTGGGAAGCTCCTCTTAATTAGAAAATAAATAATATGTTCTCTGCTTTCTAAAAGAAAAAGTCTGAAAGAAAATTTACAAAATTTTGATTTTGTTAACTTTTACTATTGGCAAAGTATTTGAATTCTTTTGCAAGTAGTTATTTAGAAGTGTTTTAAAAGTTGTCACTTAACTAACCGTGCACACCATGGGTTTAGGAAAAAGGGTTTTCTGTTTGTCTTATTAAGTTAAATATTTTTAATAAAGCTATTTTTAAGAATGAGAGCAACCCTAGCTGTAGAATTTGCACATCTAAAATATCAGAAATCTTTGGAAAAGATAGTGCACATCATTATGTTTCTTGAATTGGTTGATAAGTTGTGGAAAGATAATTGACATAATACTATAAAGAAAAAAATGGTGATACATGGTGATTTTGTTATTTATTAGGAAGAATCAGAACAGATGGATTAAAGTCCCTTGTGGGAATGTTTTATGGACCTCCATAGTAGTATCAACAATTTAGGTAGTTCCTTAGGCAGTAATATTTTCAAATTTGCTAAAGTCACTCAGATACATGGAAGAGAGGGTTTTAAAGAAAATTTTTCTATTATTCCAAAGCACCTAGACAGCCTCACTAATATCAAAGAAAATGTGAAAAATTAGTTTCAGTACTAAATTTGTGTAAAAGAAACTGTGGAAAGTGATTCAACTTAAACTTCTTAAGGAAGAAGATTAAGCTTTGGGGTTGTATAACATAAACTGATAGATATTTAAGTGTGATTGTTGATAAAATGCTAAAGCCCTGTAAATATTTGACTACATGTATATCTGTGGTGAAAAGAGCAAATAAGAGTTCTCAATTCTGTTTATAAAAATTCTTAAGTAATATTAATTAAGATGGTTATTTAACCTCTATAGATATATTACTGATGCTGATGAAACTATTTGGAGTACTGTGTACAACTCTGGTCCTCTGAATAATACAAGCTACAACTAGTAGGATACTAACACATTAGAAATGAGAGTACAGATATTTAACACGTTCACAACATTGTGCACCACTGGTGGTACATTTGCATGTTTTCTGTTGGACATCGTAAGCTACCTGTAGTACACAGCACCCATAAGATATAACTGCACCTAATATCTCCAAATTCCTATAAGAAAGCATTTATTTTGTACGGATTGCTATAATAAAGCCACGTCTTCCATTATGTACTACTGATGGAGCATGGATGCCATGTTGAAAGGACAACTGAAATAAAACAAATTACACGACCAGATCACTTTTTATTTTAAAATTACACCTAGAAACTCGCATTAAATTTTTCATTGTGAGTAATTTAAGCATAAAAACAAACAAACTGAGACTTCTTTCATAAATAAAAAACTGTAATAAAATAAGGATAGAACTATTATCATCCACAGTAGGGATTACTTTATCTTATGTCCCTTTTTTGTGAAATACTGATAATTCTTCTAAAAAAAATGGCAAAATTACTCTGAAAAAAATATTAAATATTATGATCATTCGATTATTATTATTTAAATCATAGTGTGCACCACTAGTGGCACATGACAGCCAAAGCTTAAATGGGTAAAGACAGGATGTCACGTACCATTAGTAGTGCACTCAAGAGAAAGCTGTTAATGCAGTCATAAAACGTAAGATAAAGCCATAAAATTAGCAGTATCTAAGACAGAGTTCATAATGAGGCTTTACTTTTTTATTGCATAATCAGAGAAATCATGCCACGAACATGTTAAGAAATGTATGCTATAAAGATGGGCTTAAACTTTAGGATTTCTTTTGGTCGTTTTTTCTTTGTTTTTAAAAGAGCCACTTATATTTGCATATTAAAGAAACCTTTATGTTTAAGTAAATTATTTAGTTTGCTTTAAATCTGTAATTGGAACTGTTAGCCATTATCATCACCTAATCATTGTCCAAATTAACATTACATACTTGTACATTGCATTTGTAGCTATAATTTGTACAACTACAACTTTTTAACTAAAAGTACTACTATTACTATTTGTATTAGTAACATTTACCAATTATTATTAATATTAATGATTAAAATTTTTTTAAATTTAAATTTAGAATTACTGGTATTACCCTACAAATATTTTAGTAACTAACTTTGAGAAGTTCAATTCTGTGTTCAAATTGTAATTTGGTTTAAAAAATGCTAATTCCAAAAACAAAACGCATCTATCTATACATATAATAGAAGAATAAGAAAAATTACCATCTTAAATTATCCCTTTTCTAACGTTATGAACGAGTCTCGAGAAATATAGGGTCCAAAAGTTACTTTTCCAATCTACACGCTTTAGTCCCAACAACGCCACTGGCGACACAATCGGGATCTCGGAGGAATACCGAAGAGTCACGTAAGGAGAATATAATAAAGAAATCAGATAAAGTTAAGAGAAATACTTTTTTTATGCGTTGGATCTTATTCTGAGATTTACAATTAATTAAAATGCAGTTGATAAAGGATGCAAATACATTATTCTTATTCTGTTAAGACTTGTTCTTTTTAATATAACAGTTAAACTGAGCACGTGTTACCCTAACTGCACAATAGTAAGTTCTAGAACTAGTCGCCCTGTAACTTGCATAATTCATATGTTTCATATGACCTTGGATTTTTAAAACGGTTTTCACTAATATTACTAACATTTAAGACAATAGATATATATTGATGATATTTAGATTATCTTTTGTGTTATTTTCTTCTTTCTTAAAGTTTAACACTAAGTATATTTCTTAGAAAATTATGCGTTTAAATAATGTATAATATAGTATTCCTATTTCTGGCCCTTGGTCTTAAGTAGACATGTGGTTCGGGAAAATTCGTCATTGTAAGTTTTAGTGCAGTGGAGAGGTGGTAGTGTACATCTTCTTTTGGATTTACTTCGTTTTCTCCTTTGAAGTTCTGGCCATAATTTTATTGGTAATAATAACATTTCCCATATATATTTTACTTCTTAGGAAAATCTAATTTAATCTCTCTGCATTAGAATTATATAAGCAAAGTAATATAGTGTATAATCGCACTGTTAGTGTTAGTACTGTTACTCGGCGTTAGTGTTAAGATGTTTCAAGAACGAAATCACACGTGAACTACACAAAGTTAAAACTACCTAACTTCTATGTTCCACTTCCAATTCCACTCGCTAAAAATGGTACTATTAATAGTAAATAATAATACAGTGGGCTGTAGTACTAATATTAATACTAATAGTAAATTGAATAATATCCAATGATGATGCAACACCTATGTTAATAATGGTAGTAATAGTAGTAATAAGTATACTAATTCATTGTAACTATAAATTATTAATATTACTGTTATTAGTATGAGTGAGCGTTATATTGTCTCGTAACACGTATTACCATAATGTAAAATTAGGCAAAACAGATTAATCAATAATGTTTAGTTGCTAATGGGTAATGTTAGCGTTATTGTTACTAATGGCGTTAGGAGTAGGAATGGCTATCTTTCTCGATGAGTTCTTGTAGTTGTAGATACTGAGGCAATCATGTGATATACAACTTCTCATATTGTCTGTAGTTCAGATTTTAACTCATTTTAGTGAAACATTCACATGTATTGTAATTTGTATATTGTATGTTATTGGAAGAGGTAGGTTTGATTAGATGTTTTTGTTGTTTTTTATTTTACAAACTGATTGAAATTGTGTAGATAACTACATTAAAAGTATGAGAAAGATAAAGCCTTTAAATTTAAAGGTGAAAGAAGACCATTATAACGTTTAATGCTCATCAATGTCACCTTGATTCACTAAAACATCAAATACCAGCACAGAAATTATACTAATTGTCTTATAATATATATAAATTAATATCCACAACTTGGCACAATTAAGAAAAATGTAATGTATTTTTATTTGAAAGCTTTCTTTGTTTTCAGAAATAACATGTACCGTTTACCAACCATATTACGATCATCAGCTGCCCGCCATGTTTCACCAGCTTTAAGAAGAGGGTTTGCAAAAGATATCAAATTTGGTGCAGATGTTCGTGCTTTAATGCTACAGGGTGTGGATGTCCTTGCCGATGCTGTTGCTGTGACAATGGGTCCAAAGGTAAGCAAGTTACTTTTGAAAATTCTCCTTGGCAGTTTTAAATCTTACAGCATATGACAAACTAAATTTTATAACTTAGGCATGAAAGTAAAGTTGAAATTTTAACTTTACCAATTTTAACCCAGTCTGTAAACCAGTGAGACCAAATTTGGATTGGGTGGGATACACAGGGATGTCACGATTTCTGGTATTAAAATATGAACAAATAAAATTCACTCTGATAAAGGGCTAGACCTGTTAACCTAAAAAAAAAAAAAAACATTTTACTGTTAAATAAGTTCTCTCAATGGTGTTTGGCCATGAATATGTAGTTTAGGGGGTTAGCCGTACTGTGTTCGTCTTGCACAAAATAGAAGTTTTCACGTGTGCATACATGATTGGTTAAATAAAAAGCACTTATGAATAGTTGGTCCTTATTGGTCTGAAACAGAGGTAAATACTGTTGATTGGTGTTTATTCCTTTATAATGCTGCCCTGGTGCTACTGCTGTTTCTGCTACTTATGCTGCTCTGCTATAACTACTACTGCAGTCTTATCCTTCACATTCGCATACCAGAAAGCTCAATTTTGAAACCAACTCTCCAAAAACATCTCCCTAACTTGCAGACTATGTTTAAAATAATAATAAAAAAAATCTGTAATGGGACATTTGTTACTGAGAAACCAATGCTTCATATTTTGATTTAACTTAAAATAAAACGTTGTATTATTTATACATGTATTTCAGAGTGTTGCATACAGTATTTCGTGACAACTAGGGTTTTATGGACTGGTAATGTCATTATTTTATACATTACAATTCATGATCACTAAAATCTTAATAATAAACTCAGCAAAAGTGTTTAATTATAGTTTTATAATGTATTTCAAATTTAAGAATTATATATTTTTTTATATCAGATAGTGCAATTAGAAAGTAAAGAACATTGTTACATGTATTCAAGTTTGCCTAAGAAAAGTCTTATGATCTTCCTGAAAAATTTCCATTCCACAATATTATTAAAGGTGTAAGAAAAAATACATTTTCAAACAATTATTACACAGTTATTACAAAAGTGAATTAGACCAATGTTCTATAAAACTGGGAAAGAAACAATAATATTGTCTTAACGTTTTTGTATGGGAAAGGTGTACTTTTTTAGGTAAATGTGGTGATTTTTTACAATATTTATACTACTCTGTGCTCTTCAGGTAAGTGTACATTTTTTAACATTGCATTTGTTGGTGATGAAAAAACCGAAGAGGTTTGATCTTATTTTATTCTATATTTTAAAAAGGTGCACTTGTGTGTGTGTGTGTGTGTGTGTATGTATATATATATATGTATATATATATATATATATACACACACACACACACACACACACACACACACACACACACACACACACAACACTAACTTAACTTAATTAGAGATA